CCACAATTGCCAGGCCAGTCATGTGTATAAACTTACCTGGCTATATTTAGAACAAGGCAGTCTGAATGATTATGTAACCGTATCTCTGTGTGGGCAGCTTGGACACCTCTGTCATATTGCCAACTTTGGTCATGCTGTCAAGCTCCCATTCACAAACAGTCCCATTTAACATTTTAACCGAACCTGCATTACTGTTTCCAGTACTCAGAAGCCAAAGTGAAAGTTTCTTTTTGTCTTGCCTATTTACGTGCTATGTGTTCAGTCCTGTTCTTACAATTTAGTCCTCTGTGATGTTTTTGTGTTGGTTGCAGCTTGTAGCTCAGGTTATGGAGGAGAAGGACATCGGGTTTGGAATGGTTGACTCCCACAAAGATGCAAAGATAGCAAAGAAACTGGGTGAGTATTGGTAGTGGTACAGACTAAGTCTTTTATTTAACCTCAGTCTGACTGGTAGATTTTGATGAAGAGAACTGCCTTTGATAGCAGTCATTTTTGTTAAGAGTCGGACAACTTCAGGTGTTTGACTGAATCTAATGTCTTATCATTTCTTCTGATCGCAGGCTTAGAGGAAGAGGGAAGCATGTATGTTTTTAAGGCTGATAGAGTTATCGAGTTTGATGGTTTGCTCTCTGCTAACACTCTGGCCGAGTTCTTGTTGGATGTAAGTAAACTTGCTTGAGGGTTGATTCCCAGTTGCTTGCGCTAATCACCACCAGTCACACCCTGCAATCCTCTCCTCTTGCTTTATGCTTATATTCTAGCTGTTGGAGGAACCAGTGGAAATCATAGGAAATGCTCTGGAGCTGCGAGCTTTTGACAGGATGGAGGAAGACATACGTCTCATTGGTTACTTCAAGAGCGAAGAGTCCGAACGTGAGTGTGTATATTTGTATTTTTTTTCAGTCTGAACACACCACACCGCCTCGTTAGATGGATCTGTGAAGGACTTTCTGTGGCCCATGCCCTTCATTATAACATGGATTTTTAACCCACTCGTCTCCATGGATTTACAGATCCATTTTTACCGCTACTGCACACGCAGCTGCCACTGCCTGGCCGCCCTTTCACACGCTGTGGAACAACGGAGCGTAGTATAGTTAACTTGCAGATACATCCCATCTGACCAGCTGTGGGAGTGATAAGCTGAGGTCAAAGTTCTGCTATTTCCGCTCCACATTGTGGAAATGTCAAGTACCCATCGGCCAAAGAAAGGACAAACAGATGTACGTCCAAAAAACAAGGAAAAAAACTGTTTAAAAAGCTAACTTGTTCTTTCTTCCTCTTTCTTTTTTACCTTAGACTATGAAGCTTTTAAAGAAGCCGCTGAGCAGTTTCAGCCCTACATTAAGTTTTTTGCTACATTTGAGAAATCTGTAAGTTACAAACAAACACATAAGGCAATGAAACACTTGCATGTGTAGTCCTAACAGGTCAGTTTTTGTTGCTGTAGGTGGCCAAAGAGCTGAGTCTGAAGTTAAATGAGGTAGACTTCTATGAGCCCTTCATGGAGGAGCCCGTGTCCATCCCAGGCAAACCTCACTCTGAGGAGGAGCTGGTGGAATTTATAACTGAACACAGGCGGTAAAAAAAGATTAATGTTGTACTTTATGACTTTAGTAAAGTATAAAAATATATTTTCAATTTAACATCTAATGTTTTTTTTCTGTGCCGTCAGACCAACACTGCGAAAGCTGCGTGCAGAAGATATGTTTGAGACCTGGGTGAGAAAATTAATCATTTTAATTTTAGTTTCCCAAATGCTTTAAATAAATTCACATTTTGGTCTCTTTCTCTCAGGAGGATGATATTGAAGGCATTCACATTGTGGCCTTTGCAGAAGAGGAGGATCCTGGTGAGAGCATATTATATAACGATGGACCGCTGTTTTACTCGAGTGTAAACATGAGATGCTGAGCATATTTCCTGCAGATATGGAAGGCTAAACTATTCAGTCCTCAGGGACTGCTTATGTAAAATGAAAATTATAAAAGATATGGACTTTAAAATGGATCAGGGTCAGCCTAAGGAGGTAGAATTTTTTCAGAAAGTTTTAGGATGTTTTTTTTTTAATTTTCTTTTTCTTTATTTTTTAGATGGTTATGAATTTTTGGAAATCCTAAAGGAGGTGGCCAGAGACAACACTCACCTACCTGAGCTGAGCATCGTCTGGATTGATCCCGATGACTTTCCACTGGTGAGAAGAAAGAGAAGCAGACAAATAATGAAAAAAAGAAAAGAAACAAACACACACGCAAAAAGAAAAACTGAAAATGTAGATTATTTTCAGACCTCATGCTCTTTCTCTTTCTGTCCTGCTGACTCTGTTCAGTTGATCCCCTACTGGGAGAAGACCTTCAAGGTGGATCTGTTCAGACCACAGATCGGAGTTGTCAATGTTACTGATGTAAGTCCCCGACTGTCACCACTAACACCGACGACACATGCTGTGCTCAGTTTTTACTGGCACTGTCTGATCTCTCTCTCTCTCTCTCTCTCTCTCTCTCTCTCTGTGTGTGTGTGTGTGTGTGAGCAGGCAGACAGTGTGTGGTTGGAAATGGATGATGAGGAGGATCTACCCACAGCTGAGGAGCTGGAGGACTGGATTGAAGATGTGCTCTCTGGCAAAGTTAACACTGAGGATGATGATGATGATGATGATGATGATGATGACGACGATGATGAGGATAATGATGAAGATGATGAGGATAATGAAGATGATAATGAAGATGATAATGAGGAGGAAGATGATGATAATGATGATGACGATGATGAGTAATTTACAGTGTTATCTGAGTATCCACTGTTTCCTCTTCAGAGTGTCTAATGTGGATATCAGTGCATCAGCTTTATGCTACAATAAGTTAATTTTTTAAAAAAGGTAATTTTTGCACTTAATGTGTGCCTGCTATTAATATTAAAAAGAAATAATATCAATAAAGGTCATTTTTGACTGAGAAAATAACTTTCCCAGTGTCTGGGTTCTATGTGAGGATCTTAGGAAAGATTCTAGAAGAGACAAAGAAACAAAGGGGTGAAGGCTAAAAAACAGACACACATATACAGTGGCTTGCAAAAGTATTCGACCCCCTTGAACTTTTTGTCACATTACAGCCACAAACATGAATCGATTCCATTGGAATTCCATGTGAAAGACCAGTACAAAGTGGTGTACACGAGAGAAGTGGAACGAAAATCATACATGACTCCAAACATTTTTTACAAATAAATAACTGCAAAGTGGGGTGTGTGTAGTTATTCAGCCCCCTGAGTCAATGCTTTGTAGAACCACCTTTTGCTGCAATTACAGCTGCCAGTCTCTTAGGGC